AGAGATGCTCGTCATTTCTGTTATCCTCTTCATCGCTCTCCTCCACATGGCGAGAAACGTACAGGTTTGCGTAGACTCTGCCTACAGTCGGTGGGGTGACCGCTCTGGGAGTGGGAGTCCCAATGGGCACGGGGTCGCAGGAAGGGTCTGGATCGAAATTACTCCACTTACAGCCCATGTCGGCTCCTGGCTGCCTGTGTCCCCGCTGTTTCGAGCTGGCACTGCCTTTTTACCCGTCCCCACCCCCACCTCGGCTCAGACACCTCCCTTTAATCCGAAACGGGAGTTCAGTTTCGATTTCCTCCGGGCTCCCTGCTCGCACTTGGCTTTCGTCAGTAGCAGCCCAATTCAAACAGTAACCAAATAAAAGCCAAAAGAACTGCGGATGCTGTAAATCGGGAACAAAAACAAGGTTGCTGCAAAAGCTCAGCAGGTCTGGCAACATCTGTGGAGGAGAAAACAGAGTTAACGTTTCGGGTCCGGTGACCCTTCCTCAGAACTGATGGTGGCTGGGAAAACGTCAGTTTATGTTGTTCCCAATTCAAATAGTTCCTCCTTTCACTTTCACTCCGTCCTCACAGTTCCGTCCTCAGCTCTCACTTCCCAACCCTCTTTCCCCGTTCCCGGCACCTCTCATGGCAGCAAACACCCATCCCCACCACCTCCCATCCCAAAACTCTACTCATTCTAGCTTTCCCTTCAACCCCTCCATTTAATCAGCTCCTCACACCCCCCTCCACTGTACTCATTCTGTCCATCCCTACTCCCCCCCAGCCTCTTCATTCTCTCCACTCCACTCCTCCAATCGCTCTGCCCATTCCTTCAATCTTCCTCCACCCTTTCCAACTTTCTTCTCATTCTCTCCATCCCCAATCCTCCTCTCGCTATGCTCATTCTCTCCATGCCCACTTCCCCAATGCTATAAGAGATAATAAGGTGTAGAGCTGGATGAACACAGCAGGCCAAGCAGCATCAGAGGAAAGCTGACTTTTCGGGCCTAGACCTGCTTCCCCCATCCACACTCCCTGGGCACCATTCTGTAGCCTCACGTCCCCACTGTGTCCCATCCAGTGTCAGGAAACATCCAATTAGACACACGCCAAAATGATTTACAAGCCTGGACTAAAGTTGTGGAAAACCTCAAGATGACCCATAAAAAGGGGCTGTAAGCTGTACCCACAATCTCTCAAATTTACCCCACTGGGGGGTTTGGGCAGGGGGCAGGCAGGGAGGTTTACAAAATCCTCCTGAAAACCCTGGCGTGAGTTTGAAATTCTTTTGTAAACAGGTTGAGTTTAATTTGGAAAACCTGCTCGAAGTGAACAAGTTGGAACAAAGGGTTTGTTTCTGTGCTGTACAACACTATAATCTATGACTAAGAGAAAAGAGTAAAGTATCTAGGTTAGCTAGATAGGAACGTGAGCTGTGAGGAGGACACAGCAGCTACTAAAGGGATAAATGCAGGTGAAGGGTGATGAGGTGGACAAATAGAAGACAGAAGATAGTGTGGGAAAGTATACATTTAGTCACTGTGGTAGGAAGAATGGACAATACAAATACTGCCTGAAAGGCATAAAATGTTTAAATGTTTGAAGAGACCTTGGAGTAATCAAACAATGAGTCCAAAACTGGAGAGAATAGGTTTAAGGTGAGAGGGGAAAGATTTAAAAGGGACTTAAGGCACAACTTTTTCACACAGAGGATGGTGCGTGTATGGAATGAGCTGCCAGAGGAAGTAGTGGAGGCTGGTACAATTACAACATTTAAAAGGCATCTGGATGGGTACATGAATAGGAAAGGTTTAGAGAGATATGGGCCAAATGCTGGCAAATGTGACTAGATTAATTTAGGATATTTAGTCAGCATGGATGAGTTGGACCAAAGGGTCTGCTTCTGTGCTGTACAACTCAGTGACCCTATGATTGCAGCTTATAGACATGGTAAGCAATAAGGAAGTAAATGGCATCTTGGTGTGTATTCCAAGACAATTGGATTATAAGGATGAAAAAATCCCTTTGGTGAGACCGTATCTGGAATATCGTGCACAGTTTCATTCTTCATTTTTAAGGAAGGATTACATATGCCTGGGAGGTATACAGCACATGATCCTGAGCTGGGTCTTGGGGCTGAGGGGGTTGTCTTCTTCACAAGCGGCTGAGTATATTGGGCCTCCATGTAGTTCAGAGATGATTCCATTGAAACATACAAGACTCTGAAGGGGTTTGACAAGGTAGATATTGACCAGAGATTGTAGTCTGTAACTCTCTCAGGGTAGATGATTGATCATATATGACTGAGATGAGGAATAATTTCTTCACTCTGCAGCTTGTGATCTGTAGAATTCTCCACACAGAGGATCATGGATGCTCAGTCACTGTGTATATTTAAAGGTGGGAGAGATTGATTTTTGATCTCTCAGGGAATGAAAGATATGGGGGATTGGTTGAGAGATTGGTTCAGAAGTTAACACAGTGTGGAGCTGGAGGAATACAGCAGGACAGAAGCATCAGAGGAGCAGGAAAGCTGACATTTTGGGGCAGGACCCTTCTTCAGAAATGAATCATTTCTGAAGAAGGGTCC